TACTAAAATTCATTAAAAGTTTAAAATCTAAAGCCATAGGCATTGATGGGATTTCTCTCGATATGCTCCGTATGACCCTTCCGAAAACACTACCAACTATTACTGCTATGGTGAACAAATCCATTAACTCTAACACCTATCCGACATTATGGCAACATGCGTTAGTCAAACCCATACCTAAGAACTCAAATCCTTTGTCTGAAAAAGACCTTCGGCCCATCAGTATTCTCCCCTGTGTCTCTAAAATTATTGAAAAAATTGTCGCAGAACAGCTAACCATGTATTTAGATAGAAAAAAAATTCTACCGGAAATGCAGTCGGGATTTCGTAAGAACCATAGCACCACGACGGCCCTAGCTCAACTTACTGACGATGTACTAACCGCTCAAGATGAAGGAAAAGGCACAATACTAGTATTACTAGATTTTTCTCGTGCATTTGACTGTATAAATGTTTCCCTTCTCTTATCAAAGCTTCATTACTATGGATTCAGTAGCAGCGCAGTACAATGGTTCGATAGTTATTTTAAAAACCGACTACAAACTGTAGAACTGAGCGATGACCGAGGAACATTAATACGTTCGCAATCAAAAAAAATCAAAGCCGGTGCGCCCCAGGGATCGAACCTGGCTCCAATATTGTTTTCAGTTTACAGTGCCGACTTAGTAAAAAACATTAAGCACTGTAAATATCATTTATACGCAGATGATCTGCAAGTCTACATGTCATGTAATCCGCGTGATACTCAAGAAGTCGTTAATAAAATCAACGAAGACCTCGAAAGTATAGCCGCGTGGTGCGACTCAAACTGCCTTGTACTAAACGGAACTAAATCTAAACTACTAATTATGGGTTCTAAAAATCAAATAAAAAATATATCAGAAAGAGGGGCATGCATCCAAATTCGAGGGGAAATCGTAGAACGTGTAAATGAGATTCGCAATCTGGGCTTACTAATGGATGACAAACTACAGTTTGAGAACCACATACTAAGTACTAGCAGAAACTGCTTTTATAGACTTAAGGTTCTTTATCAAATAAGGGAGTTTTTAAATTCGGATATTCGGGTAAAATTGTGTGACACTCTTGTCCTTTCGAAATTTAATTATATGGACATTGTATATGGCCCGAGACTTTTAGCGCGGTCGCGACGTCTAGTGCAACGTGTTCAAAATGCATGTGCAAGATTTAGTTTTATAATACCGCCCCGCACGCACGTTACCCCTTACATTAACAATGCCAAAATGTTAAAAATGGAATATCGCAGAAAACTACACATGGCAACTCTCCTATTCGGGGTATTAAAAAATAAAACACCTCCTTATCTTGCTGACAAACTCATATGGTCACGTGATGTAAAAACTTACAATACACGCACTAGAGGGAATACTCTCGTCGTGCCTCGTCACCGCACTCACGCTTTCCGAGGAAGTTTCAAATACGCCGCATCCAAGTGCTGGAACGATATACCGCCTCCTTTGCGAAATCTGAAAGCAGTACACACATTTAAAAATAAATATAGAACACAATTACTGCAAAGTCAGATTAACTTTGATCAAAGTTTATAACGCTTTGCACGATTACGTACCTCATCGTCATAGATTATTAACAACGGAGCATTAAAATCGTCCTTTTGAATGCGGCTTTTGTCTTCTTATATACTTTTATATTCTTCAATAATTACATTTTTTTTTTACTAATTATCTGGTCATTTTATTATATAGCACTTTATAGTATTTTAATAATTTCCCTTTTGTAGTATATAGCCCATTATAGTATTTTAATAATCTCCCCTTTTGAGTGTTCGTATAGCCCTTCTAAGAGCGTCTGAAAGCAACATAAACGGGACGTGCTGTGTCGAAGTGGCATTCGACCTTGAACTCTACTCTCTCCCTCTCACTTAAGATAGTTACTGTTTCTTTCCCCCTTGTTGTGCATAATTCTGTCATGAGTATACGTATAGCACTGATTTCGGTAAGTCACTGGTTGGACACACTGAAAATCAGCGCCATGGAGAGAAAAAAAAATTCATGGCATTATGCTGAGTGTGCTCCTGTTCCCAGATGACGCCTTGACACATATGAGTATTGGTATTGTATAGTTTGTAATATGTAGTATATTGTAATTTGTATTGTATAGCCAATATTATTTGTAAATTATGTGTTTCTTTTTTATGTTATCTGTGATGGCGTCATTTTGGAGAATAAACCTTTCTTTCTTTTCTTTCTTTCAATTGTTGGCTAGAGAAATTCGAAAGCAAATTCTGGATTACGTTATTGCAGTCATTTTGTTGTTTGTTTACAATATGCAGCACGATAGTAGTAGTAGAGCGAGTCTCGTTTGTTGATCCAGTTGATCCTCGAGCATTTTATTTATAACTGTTCACTATTTTGAGAACAACTGTTATAAAAATAAATGTATTAATAAAAAAAAAACTATTACCTTCTTAATGCTAAAGCCGTTATCAGTAAAATGCTGCTGCCCATTTTCTGTTTAATTTCCCTCTGTCGCCTTTTACAAAACAAACGGCATAGTAGGTATTTATTGTTATTAGTGTAATTGATTTTTGTACTCCGCCATTACAAGAAATTCTCTAATGCCTATAAAATATTAATAGCACTAGCTAACCCGGCGAACTTTGTACCGCCTAACAGTCGATTCTTTAATTTTTTTTTAAATACTTATTCCGCTATTCGAGACACCGGGTCAGCTAGTAAGATAAAAAAAGAAAAAAGAAAGTTGATAAGTCAACAATTACATTATGTTAAAAAATAAAAATTATAAAACACTTAAAATTCTTTTAATAGTCACTAAAAAATCACAATGAAAATTACCATTTCTGATTTCTTATTACGATACCTACTTATTATATTTCATTTAATTTTTACTTATTCTCAATTAAGTTTCCATTGTATAAATATTGACGAATATTTATACGATACCATACGATACGATATGATATTTATACGATACTAACGTCACTTAATCGTTTTGCCTTCCCGGAACCCCTTCACTAACACTTAAACTTTATGGTATGGTATTAAAGTTCAAATTGACTTTTAAGTATTATTACGAATCTTTTGTATGGGAATATAGAAAAGTTTTGTTTTTAGACTTTTTCAGGCAATTTTTTAAATTTTTCTCTCCGTAAGAACCATCTTCGTTCTTCAAGGAATATTATAAAAAAAGAATTAGCGAAATCGGTTCAGCTGCTCTCGAGATATGCGCTTAGCAACATATTCAGCGATTCATTTTTATATTATAGATAGTGTGTTTCGATAATGGGCAATTCAAGTATGGGCAGGTAGATGTAGATATGAAATTAAACATGCTGTGTGTGAGGTATTATTAAAATTCAATTTTTTCTTTGTAAGGCCCACATATGCCATTAAGTGTGGAATATGACATCGTTCGAATGACCGCCTCGGCTTCTTACAGTGGCATGGATCCGAATGGTCCAATTTTCAATGACTCTTCTGTATAGATCCGGTTGAATTTGAGCGATGGCCTGTGTTATGTTCACCTTTAGGGCATCGGTCGATTGTGGTCTGTTTGCATCAACTTGCAACTTCAAAAAACCAGAAAAGAAAAATTCTAGCGGGGTCAAATCGAATGACCTTGGTGGCCAATTCACATCACTCCTGCGAGAGATAAGCTTACCCTCAAATCGCTCATGAAGAATGTCAATCGTGGCGTCCGCTATATGGCACGTAGTGCCGTCCTGTTGGAACCACATGTCGTCTAGGTCCATATGGTTCAATTTTGGCTATAAGAAATTGGTTATCGTCGTTTTGTAGCGCTCGTTGTTGACGGTGACCGCCTCACCAGCGTCGTTTTCCAATAACTCCACCAGCCATAAATCCACACCAAACGGTAACTTTTGAGGATGTAACCTTGCATGGGTTGGCGTTGTCCTATATACGGTAATTCTGTTTGTAATACAGACATTTATCCAAAAATGCGCCTCGTCGCTAAAGATATTTTTTCAGCCAAATTTGGGGTCCTTTTCCAAACAATTCGAAGCCCATTCAGTGAACACACGGCGTTGTCGATGGTTATAAACTTTGAACCCCTGGGTCAGATGAATCTTGTAAGCTTATAGACCTAAGTCCCGGCGCAAAATTCACCAAGTTGAAGTCTGCGAAAGGCCGAGTTCCTGTGCATGGCGAGAAATCGACTGCCACGGGTTCTTCTGTACACTTTCACGAACCGCGACGATGTTCTCGGCCAATCATATATCTTGCCATGGTGATTTTGCATAAGTAACTGAATAATAAACAAAAGATTTGATAAATGTCACCAAAACAACATGGCCGCCACGGGCCACCAAAATCTACTCGGGCCAATTAAAAAGCGCTTTACTACAAAATTAAAATTATTAATAGCAAATGCATTCTCGGATTCTAGATATTGTTCTAAATATAATTGTATCTAAATATACTCATTATTTGAAGTAAAATACACACAATACGTACAAAATATCAAATTCCCTTGAAATTTACGATATTATCAGTAAATTAAGAGCTAATTATGTCGTCAGCCCAAAATGCTCACTCACTCCTTCAGAATGCAACGACCTTTCAAGAAGGCCTTGAGTCTTGTCTCAATTTTTATTATTAACAAATCCATTGAGACAAAACTAAGCTTTATTAAAAGTAGCAAATACTATTAAATAGCCTGATAGCTCTGTAGATAAGCGCGCGCCGTAAATTTCACAGTAAATTAGTAACCTGGGTTCAATCTCCGCTGGTACTAACGAAAATGTTACTTTCAATTTTTAAGTGTTAATCTATATTAGGGTTATAGGTTTGGATTCTCAATAAAATGTTTTCTTGATAATAAATCTTTTATTTAGTATCTATGCACATTCACGGTAAGAAGTTCTACAGTTCTACGAAGCAACAACGCCATCTGGCTGCCAATAAAAAAATATAAATTAATGCGTTCAGATTTAAATTTTCTTTTTCTAAATTTAACACTCCCACTAAAATTTAAATCTCTTAACTAATTATCTGATCCCTTATATAAGTAAAAGTTTGAGTGGGCAATGCCATAGTCAATATATCTGCTAATTGATCTTTACTAGGAATATAATTAATTTTAATCATGCCCAACTCAAATTTTTCTCTAATAAAATAGTATTTAACATCTATGTGCTTCGTTCTTTTATGATAAACAGGATTATTTATTAGTTTTATCGCACTTTGATTATCAATAAACATAGTTACACATTTACAATTTTCACCTAAATCTAACATTAATTGCCGCAGCCATATCATTTCTTTTGCTGCTTCACATGCAGCTACAAATTCTGCCTCAGTAGTGGAGAGAGCAATGGTCTTTTGTTTTTGGCTGGACCAAGTAATTGGTCCACCGTTCATCATAAAAACATAGCCTGTTGTTGACTTACGTGTATCAACATCACTTGCATAATCAGAATCAGAGTAACCTATTAAGCCATCACTTTCTCCATACTTTATACACAAATCTTTAGTATTAATTAAGTATCTAACTATACTTTTGACAGCATTTACATGTTGCTGACTAGGATTGTTTACATATCTGCTTAATACATTCACAGCAAATGATATGTCAGGTCTAGAAACAGAACACAAAAATAATAAAGAACCAATAAGTTCCCTATATGGAAAATTAATAATTTCATCCTCATTCTTTGTCATAATTACATTGACATCTGCTGGAGTACTAGTTGGAGTTGCATTTGTCATACAAAATCTCTCAATAATTTGTTCTATATAATCTCTTTGGTGAATATAGATACAATTATTTATTCTCTCAATTTCCATACCAACAAAATATCTCAATGGCATCACTTTTATTTTAAAAGCTTGTTTCAAATATTCTATAATTTTTTGGATCAGTTGTTTACTAGAAGATATTACAAGGGCATCATCAACATAAATAATTAAAATTACTTTAATCTTATTGAAAACTCCTATAAAAATACAATTACCAGCCTGAGATTGTACAAAACCATATTTCATTAAAAACTCAGTGAACCCTTTGTTCCAACGACGAGAGGCCTGTTTCAACCCATACAAAGATTTATTTAATTTTAACACATAACTTTTATCTAAAATTACACCCTCAGGTACTTCTATAAAAATATTTTCCTCAAGATACCCATTAAGAAAAGCAGTCTTTACATCAAACTGTTGAATTTCTAACTTATACTTTGCTGCAATAGAAAGAATAATTCTTATAGAGTCATACCTAGTAGTTGGAGAAAATATTTCTTGGTAGTCCACATCTTTAATCTGAGTAAACCCTCGTGCACACAGACGAGCCTTGTACCGTGTCTGATTATCTTCTTTCTTCTTGATTGCGAAGACCCACTTGGTAGTAAGGGTCCGCTGACCAGCTCTTGTTACCGCACTCCATGTATTGTTCTCTTCATGTGAAGATAATTCTTCCCTAATGGCTTGATACCATTCATTTTTCTGTGGACTTTGTATGGCTTCATCATATGTCTGAGGTAATGACAATTCAACAAGGTTAGCTTCAAAACGTCTATTATTTCTTGGCCTCAAATTTATGTTACACTGTGGCACATCTTCTATTTCTTGAGACGGTTCATATGTAGGATCATCACTGTTGCAACTCAATAAGCTGTCATCAGATTGTAATGCTACAGTTTCCATTAGTGTTTCATCCACATTTCTTGCTTCAGTTTCATCATTTTGTATCTTATCTTCATTTTCATCAGTTATACATATTCGATTAATATTCTTTCTTATTGCCGGAGTTTGATGTTCATCAAAAATCACATTTCTTGAAATTTTGATTGACTTATTATTTACATCATACATTCTGTAATTGGTATTATCATAGCCAACAAGCATCATTTTTTTACTCTTCTTTTCTAATTTAGTTCTCAATTGATCTGGAACATGTACATATCCAACGCTGCCGAACACCTTCAAATGACCTAATTGTGGTTTGATACCATTCCATAATTCATATGGTGTTTTACCCGGAGTCTGGCTCGAAGAAGTTCTGTTCAATATGTAAACTGCACAGCTCACCGCTTCAGCCCACAGCTCCAGTGGAAGATCTCTTGCATACAACATGGAGCGAGCACTTTTTACTATGGTTCTATTTTCTCTTTCTGGTGAATAAGGAGCAGTTAGCTCATGTACTATCCCCTCTTTGTCCAAATATTCCTTGAAAACTTTGTTTACATACTCTCTACCATTATCAGTATGTAATATTCTTATACTGTGCATGTATTTATTCTTCACAATACTATTATATTTCTTAAACATTTCCATAACATCACTTTTGTTTTTTATGAAATATATTTGCCTGTAACTAGTTACTGCATCTTTGAACAAGACAAAATATCTCATTCCTTGAACTGATGTGCAAGACATTGGTCCACAGACATCACTGTACACTAAGTCTCCAGGTTGTAGTTCTCCTCGTACGGATTTGTGAAATGGAAACCTGCACTGCTTTCCGTATGCACATGCCTCACATACAAAATTGTTTTTATCATTGTCATTAATTTCCAAACCTGTAACAACATTATTTGCACACATACTCTTAATTTCTTTTAGGTTTAGATGTCCCAGTCGCTCATGCCACATTTTGATATCACTTTGATTTTTCTGGACCAAGTTGCAAGTATCTGGGGTGATTGCTTTTATATTCAGCTCATATAAATTATTTTCTCTGATCCTGGCACTCATAACCACTTGATTATCTTTATAGATCAATGCATTTGAATCTTTCTTTATAATAGTGTAATCTCTTCTTATTATGGCACCTTCTGAGAATAAGTTTCTTCGCAGACTTGGGAAATACAACACATCAAGTAGTTCACTGGATTCCCACTGTCTATTTATATATCTTTTTATCAACACTTTACCAATGCCACACACTTCTACAGACTGTTTGTTTCCTAAAGTTAATATCTTCTGACTGCATTCAACCAGTTCCATAAAGAATTCCTTTCTATAAGTCATATGTGCAGAGGCTCCACTGTCTAGAATCCAAGTATTCTCTTCTGTGCTAGACGCGTTATTCTCTACATAAAACGCTAACATATCTGCACCTTCTTGTTGAGGTTTTCTTGACTTAAATTTTCTTGGAGCACGACATTCTCTAGCAAAGTGTCCTCGCTTTCCACAGTTATAACATTCAAACCTGTGTTTGGTATTTTTATTTTGATTTACTCCACTCTGCATCGGCTCACTTTGTTTTGATTTCAACTTCCATCCTTTATTAGCAACAAGGAGAGCTGTTTCTTGTTCTTCTTCGCCTACTAAACTTGCTTCTTCATCTAAGAGGCGAGCAGTTAAATTCACAATAGTCTGTTGTTTTGAATCCAATGACATCCACGCTTGGCGCAGTGATCTGTACTTAGGTGGCAATGTTCCCAAAATTTTTGTTATGATGGCCATGTCACTGACAGTCTCACCACTCTCTTTTAGTTGTTTAGCCAGGGATTCCACCTTTGAGATATGTTGAGCTACACTGTCACCCGGCAATATTTTATACTGATAAACCTTTTCATGGACTAGCATTTTACACAACTCACTCTTTTGTTCATATACCGATTCAAGTTTTGTCATTATTTCCTTGGCAGTCTCACAATTCTCTATTAATGTTATTTATTTGAAATCCATTGACGAAGTCATGATGAACATTGCCATACCATCATTTTTCGACCATTCAGCACTGTTTTGTTCCGTTCTTGGCACTCTGATATCAATTCCTTTTGCCTTTAAAGCGCATTTTATCTGGAATTTCCACTGGCGAAAAATTTCTCGAGATTCATTGACCGCGTGGTATCCATTTTTAGGTTATTAGTCAATGAATATTCCGTACTATTCCGTAGCTGTTGTAATATGTTTCTTTACCTTTCCTTTCTATTAACAGTGTCCTGGGCCCATAACCTATTAAGATTATGGGTTCGGATTCTCAATAAAATGTTTTCTTGATAATAAATCTTTTATTTAGTATCTATGCACATTCACGGTAAGAAGTTCTACAGTTCTACGAAGCAACAACGCCATCTGGCTGCCAATAAAAAAATATAAATGAATGCGTTCAGATTTAAATTTTCTTTTTCTAAATTTAACAATCTATATCATGTCAGGTAAAGTAGTAAAGAACAACCTAAAAAATAACATTACAAAAAAAAAAAAACTAAAGTATATAATTTTGTTTTTAATATTTTGGTATTCATATAAAAATACATGTTATAGTTCGTGTAGTAGCAGCGTTATAGACTCCATCAGGCATTGAAATAATATGTACTTAGTACGTAGTACATAATAACTCAATGCGATCAGCACGCTTCGTCCCGTGAGTGTCGTAAGAGATGATCATCTCGTTTACAGACGTCATATCCAGAACGGCAATGGCAAACAGGGTCAAAAAAGCAAATCGTTCCCACAATGGGAAAGACCCATGTGTAGCAAAGTATTATTACGGGCTTGTGTCGAAAAAATAGAGGATATAAACGTACGTGGTAGAGTACGCTGCAGCTGTATTATGGTTGCAGCACGAATGAGTCACGCCACGCTCTTACAGAATATCAGCGTAAAATTGCAGCTTAATTCCGCTGTTTTATATAGTGAGTCTAGAAAACCGGACACCCTTTTTACTGGAAGCGAGGCATTTCATCATAGTCCTAAGGGGTACAACGCATCAGCATTTTGATTGTTAATCGAGCATAAATGTGGATGCCCATGAGTCACAGCATTCACTTACCGTCAGGTGAACCATGAGCTCGTTTGTCACCGTTCTATAAAAAAAATCGGGCGAATATGTCGAGGTAAAATGATAAATTAAATTTGACATACATATTTTTTACGTTCCTATAAAATAAGGACTGATGTAGTCCTTATTTATATATATATATATATATATATATATATATATATATATATATATAATTATATATATATATATATTTTATATATATATATATATATATATATATAATTATATTTGCCAAAACATAATCTTTACTTCAGAATGCGCTCTCAATCAATCAATTATCGGACATTAGTGAAGGGTATCCTTTATGACAAGTGACACAACAACCGGGAGGAAAGAGATGTGTATACGTCAATTGTCATTTGGAATACTCTGTTTTACGAAATTTTATTCGTAAAACAGTGTATATTATTTGTGATCGTGATCTGAGGCGACGTCAATTCCTGCAGCTTTTCGCCTTGCGATAAAGATGGAAGCATCGTATTACATTACGAAAGAGAAATATAAGGCAACGACCATTAACGCTACGACCATTCAATCAGAAGTGTGCTCATGCGGTTTTAAATTATAAAGGAAACTTAATATCAAATACCGGTACCGTTAGAGTTTTAAAAGTCTCAACATAGGCCTCACCCATAAATTGCCTCGTTGGGGGGATATTTGCGAAAGTTGCCACGCTTGGTAAGGGGGTCGGCAACCGCATTTTTCATTTTTAGTCGTTATTAGAAAGACGCTACTGCCCATCTTCTGATTTGTTTCCCTCTGTCGCTTCTTAAGACACCCACGGGACGATATGGGCTAGTGGATATTCTTACACCGCCACTACACGGTAGTGTTCACATTCAGAGGTTACTAGAGGATTAATGTTGGTGTCTATGAACAACAGCTTTCACCACACGTGGTAACATCTGCAACTAGAGTACCTTATTAATAGCATTTACTTACCATTCGATGAGCTATGTGCTCATATGTCACCCATACTTCATTACAAAAAAAAACTAATACTTTCTATTATCTTTTTAATCTCTTACTCGTTAAACTCAAAACACACTGCGGTTAGTGTGGTGCATTGAGCCACCGTCAAGCACATGCAGTTGGCTGGCGGCCAGACGAGTATAGACTTCCGTGGCATTGCGGTTTAGCATCAGTTCGTTGGAAAATGCTTCCTCTCATTTCTGCTAACTTGTACTTATATAAAATTAATATTAAATTACAGTTAAATTCACACTTCAACAAAAATTATTTTAACTAAGCCATAATTGTTGATTATCGCCTAATTTAATTATGTATCAATAATCTCTGTAGCTGTCTCTTTCTATTGTAATTTTGTGAAAAGATAAAGGGAGCAAACGTTGATTGATTTTTATGAAAAAATCTATAAAAGATTAAATAGTTTTCAACGCTTTTTTTTATAAAAAAAAAAAGAACGTACAGTATTTATACTAATTTATAACAAAAATACCATATTTTAAAATAAATTAGCTTTACACGTCGAAGACATGTCGTAACCAGCGAAACCACAACGCTAATTTTTGCAGTAATGATCAATTATTTTTTTATATAAAATTATAATAATCCAATGTTCGGAAAATGAGTATCTTATTAAGTTTTATAAGGTACAACACCGCCGTGTAGTGGCGGTCAAGAATATCCACTACCCCATATCCTCCCGTGGGTGTCGTAAAAGGCGACAAAGGGAAACAGGCAGGAGATGGGCAGCAGCATCTTCCTGATAATAGCCAAATTACAATAAAAAAACTGCGGTTGCCAACCCGCTCGCCAAGCGTGGCAACTATGGCAAATACCCCCCTATGAATGACAGTAACAAAGAAACGGCCCACAGTCCCCGGCGGCCCCGCTATTCCTGGCTACGGTGGCGACCATGGTAACGGCGGGGCAGGGGGTGCTAAGAATCTCCGGTGGAGGTTCGGTTGCCACCTTAGACGACTCGACCTGGCAACGTACAACGCACGCACCCTGAGGACTGACGAGAAGATCGTGGAGCTGGAAGAAGAGATAGACAAGTTGCGCTGGCATATTATAGGATTATCCGAAGTCCGAAGAGAGGGGGAGGACACGGTAATCCTCGAATCCGGCAACTTGCTCTATCACCGGGAGGGCGACCATCTGTCCCAAGGAGGTGTCGGATTTATCGACCAGCCTCCCGAACAACAACGTTGTAAAGATCGGGAGTGTGTCGACGAGGGAGGTGTGCGTACCTTATACTCAGAATCACCAAACGGTATTCGCTGAAGGTCATACAGGTTTACGCACCAACCTCGGCACACCCCGATGAGGAGGTGGAGGAAATGTATGAGGATATCTCTAGAGCCATGCTTTCCTCCAAAACCCAATATACGGTGTTAATGGGAGACTTTAATGCAAAACTAGGCACAAGAGAGAACGGTGAGCTGAAAGTAGGGAAATTTGGAATAGGGCAACGGAACCCAAGGGGCCAGCAGCTGGCCGACTTCATGGAGAAAGAGGGACTCTTTATGATGAACTCTTTCTTCCAGAAGCGGCCCCACAGGAAGTGGACCTGGTCGAGCCCCGACGGTTCGACAAAAAATGAGATTGACTTCATTATGACGACCAGACGACAACTGTTCAGTGATGTCTCCGTGATCGCGAGGGTGAAAACTGGTAGCGATCACCGAATGGTTAGAGGCACACTGAACCTAAACGTTAAGTTGGAGAGGTCTCGTCTTATGAAGTCAACGCTCCGTCCCCTTCGTGCTCTAATCCAAAGTCCCGAAACCTTTCAGCTCGAGTTACAAAACCGTTTTCAGTGTCTAGAAGACTGCAATGAAGTGGACGATATGAACGACAAGCTCGTGGAAACTGTCCATGCGGTCGGAGCTAAGTTCTGCAAGACCCGCCGCAGAAGAACACAAAAACTCTCCGATCACACTCTTAATCTCATGGCTGTTAGACGGGAGATGAAGCTACATTCTTCAACAGACTTGACAGCATACAGGCATCTGAACAGACAGATCTCCAAATGCATGCGGCGGGACTTACGCAACTTCAGTACAGCTCGTATTGAAGAAGCGATCGAGCGGAACCAAGGCTCCAAAGTCTTTGCCAGAGATCTGTCTGCCAGAAAGAGCCAACTGTCAAAGCTGAAGACAGAATGTGGCAGCATCGTTTCCGGGACACCTGAGATTTTGAGTGAGATTGAGAGGTTCTATGGGCAGCTGTACACATCATCGTTGGAGCCACACGCAAGTGTGAGTAACGATCCAAGAGCGAGTCTCATCCGACACTATTCCGAAGATATCCCGGATGTCAGTCTGAGCGAGATTAGGATGGCTCTCCAGCACCTTAAAAACGGTAAGGCCCCAGGCGAGGATGGAATTACAGCGGAGCTTCTGAAAGCGGGTGGAAGACCGGTACTTGAAGTCCTTCAGAAGCTCTTTAATTCCATCCTCCATGGTGGCATTACACCGGAGGCGTGGAGCAGAAGTGCGGTGGTCTTGTTCTTCAAGAAAGGTGACAACGCTCTCTTGAAGAACTACAGACCGATTTCCCTTCTGAGCCGCGTCTACGTGCTGTTTTCGAGAGTCATTACGAATCGTCTCACGCGCAGACTTGACGACTTCCAGCCTCCCGAACAAGCCGGTTTCCGAAAGGGCTTTAGCACCATAGACCACATACATACCCTTCGGCAAGTTGTGCAGAAGTCCGAAGAGTACAATTTGCCACTATGTCTGGCGTATGTGGACTATGAGAAAGCCTTTGATTCCGTCGAAATTTGGGCGGTGCTGCAGTCCCTTCAGCGGTGCCAAGTTGACTGTCG